ACCTCTGATGCTGAGCTATCCTGGTCAACTGCCTTGACTTTTATAAGATGTGACAGGAAGCTATGTGGGGCAGTTTCAGAATCTAGACCTCACCAGCTTTCACAGCTTTTCACAACCTCCTCCCCCACTGCCCCCAGCCCTTGAGGAACTCTGGACCCCCAGGAAGAGAAGAAGACCCAGTACCAGATTTTAGGGTCTCTCAGCTGCTAAACTACACATGCAGTGACCTCCCCCCACCCATGGCAGCTGCATGAGGGAGCCCAACATATGTCAGAGCAACCAGTTGGACACAGCATGGTGAGAAGTATAGGTAAGGGTTGTTTTCAGCCACTAAGCTTCAGGTTAAGGGATTCAGTGCAGCCACAGAGTCCAAAAATCTAATCCTACACCAAAAGCTGATACAAAAAAATGAGTCCTTTTTCAAAAACTCCACTTTACCACAGCCTTCTTTAGCAAACTGCTATATACAAAGAGATTCTGTACCAACATTTTAATGATCTTTTTCTATTCAATGAGTCAAAAGGAGGTAATATTATGTCCATCATTTTCAGAAAAATGCATTAGAGAATAATATTAATAGAAAAGATTATTTTTATACTTTGAAAATTTGTAATTAATTTCTCCTATTCAAAAATTATACTTAGTGTATTTTTATCTTTAAATGAATTAAAATTTACAGTATCGTTTTATCAGTGTAAGAGCTCACAGGCTTCAACCCATCTTCAATTTCTCAGGGACAGGCAGCCAATTCTGCAGGTAATATTTCCTCCATTGTATTGTTATTGATTTCTCCTTTTTCTGGAGAATTTTTTTTCTCCTTGGCTTAGAGGAGTGAGAAAATCTATTGGGGTAAAATTCACCTAGACCAATGTGAGAAATGGAGCCCACATGTGGAAATCTAGGCTCTAGCTTGAGAAACAAAATAATTGTGACAGAAGTATTTTCATTTTAGCACAAAAATTTCATCCTTAAAGTTTAGATTTTTTTTCACTTTATTTTATTTGTGTGTGTGTGTGTATATATATGCATATATATGTGTGTGTATACACACACACACATACATACATACACATATATTTATTTTAATGAGGTGCAGAGGATCAAACCCAGTGCTTTACATTTGCTAGGCAAGTGCTCTACCACTGCGCTGCAACCCCAACCCCTAAAGTTTAGAATTTTTCAATGAGCAAAGCAGAATTACTTGAGAAATCTCAAAGGCAAATATTCTTGCCATAGGCCAAAAAGAAGTAATATTCATTTACCTCTTTGAGATCATTGATTTTCTCAGGTAGAATTTCCCCCCAGTATCTGAAAGTCCAAAAGGAACCTTGCTACCTGTCCTACCACCTGTCTCACTAGCAGAGCCCCGCCTGGCTGTCTGGCACTCCTTCTCCAGGATGCACTTCAGGATGGACAATTTGGGGAATCATCTGCATGCACCACAATCCGGTTCCTCTGCCTCCCACTGTCCTTCCCTGGGCAGTCCCCAGCCTGGCTTCCTCTGGCTCTCCCTTCCCTATTTCTGCTCCACCATGCTGAGCTACATAGAATGGCAGAAGAGAGACATCAGGGTGGTTTCTGATGGCTTTGTACACCATATAAACTAGGCCTCCCTAACTTTTTGTTGCCCAAGTGAAACACCCCCTCATGATCAAACCATTGTTTGGGGGCTTTGTTACCCATACTCAACATAACCTCTAACTATGCTGGCAACCTGATGCCCTCTAGTCCCTGAGAAGTGCATCACAGTCCATTTGAATAATGTCACCTGAAGTTGTGCAGTACCCAGCCTGTGCAGTTATCTGTGGTGACCCTACTCTGTCCTCAAACCATGAAGCTCCTAACATTCAAATATGACTTCACCTTAAAGTAATTCAAAGACATACTCCCTCCTGAAGTATGTACAACATAGCTCCTTTTTTATTACTATTATTTCATGTGTTCTCTTAGACAAAAGGATTGCTTCTTTCTTTCTTTCTTTCTTTATTGGTACTGGGGATCTCACTGAGTTTCTTAGGGCCTCACTAAGTTGTTGAGGCTGGCTTTGAACTCACAATCCTCCTACCTCAGCCTCCTGAGCCACTGGGATTACAGGCGTGTGCCCTGTACTTGGCTTCCTTCTTTATTTTAGATTGTAGTCTCTAAGCGTAAACTTGATTCCCTCCCTTTCCATTTACTCTAGGCTTTTAATGTACCTGATTTTATTGAAAAAAAAATGTTTTATTATTTTTTGAGATTGAAACAATAAATGTGGTGGGAGTCTTGTGTGACCATTCTGTGAGGCTGGGCATGAAGTTTACAGTTGTAGTGTCATGGAACACTAAATAATTTCAGATGTGGAGCATTTTGGATATCAGATTTCTGGATTCAGGATGCTCGGCCTATGTGTGGACCGTGAAGCTGTTTATTGTTTCCATCTGACAGTGTTTAACTTACTACTATTTCACAAGCCCCGCCCCCAGAGCCTCAAAACATCACTGGCCTTGTCAGCCCCTATATTTCTGGGGTTCCCAGGGGCTCAGCTGGACAATTTTTTCCCTGATCTCTCTTGGAGTTCTTCATAAAGTTGCTGCTCATGGTGATGGAGGCTGGAATAATCCCAGGACCCACTGCCCCTGGGATGTGGGCTGGCTGGGCCTCTCCCTGTCCCTGTGATGGCCTTTTGGGGCCACTCTGCACTGCTTCTGAAGGGGGTGGGGCAGACCTTTGGTTGATGGTTCTAAGAGGGAGCAGCCCAAGGCAGAGCCTGAAGCTGCTGTCCTCCTCTCCTTGAAGCCTGAGTTGAGTGTAGGAATCTACACATGTGCTTCTCAGAGAATAATTGCAGGGTGGCATTTCCACTGTTCCTGGCACAGCAATCAATTCTGACAAGGCACTGTGCTGCTCAGTTAAGGCACCGGGCGTAGAGTACAGTGAGCTCTTCAACCAACTTGGTCCATACTTGTGATTTTGCTTACACCCTTCTGTCAGAATAACTTTCTTTCTTTCTTTTCTTTCTTTTCTTTCTTTCTTTCCTTCCTTCCTTCCTTCCTTCCCTGAAATAAAATTTATTTAAAGTAAAAAATTAAAATTCTAGATGGGCTGAAAATTATTAACTGCTTAGATGTAGCTGATGTTACTGTAAACTGTATTCCATGCTGGGGGATAGTTATCATTAGAAAGGCCCACCAAACCAAGTTTCTGGAATTTCCCCATCAGGTAGAAACTATTTTAATTATCACACTAACAAGTGGCTTAATGGAAATGAAATGTGATATACATGTTTCTCATTTAAAATTTTCAGTAAACATATAAAGTGGCAACTGGGAAACTGGAGTCAATCAGTGTTGCATGGCAAACTAAGTCATGATTAAAACTGCTCCATTTGCGTATGAGTTGCCAAAATGCATCCTGCTATCATGTATAACTAATTAGAACAAATAATATATTTTTAAAAACTGCTTAAGCAAGCAAAACAACACTGAAATTTCACTTTACTCCAGTTAGAACATCAGCCATTAAGAATAAAAACAATAAATGGTGGACAAGATGTGGAGAAAAAGGAACACTTTTATACTGTTGATGGGTTTGTAAATTAGTACAACCAGTATGGAAAATTAGTACGGAGGTTCCTCAAAATACTTGACATGGAACCACCATATGACCCAGCTAAACCACTGCATAGTATTTATCCTTAAGAATTAGTCATACTACAGCTATAGATGCATACCCATTTTATAACTGCTAAATTCACAATTGCCAAACTATGGAACCAGCCAAGGCATCCATCAGTGAATGAATGGATAAAGAAAATGTGGTTTGTATACACAAAGGAGTTTTATTCAGCCAGGAATAAAAATGAAATTATGGCATGTATAAGAAAATGAATAGAACTTGAGAACTTAGGTTAAGTGAAATAAGCCAAACTCAGAAGGTCAAAGGTGGTATGTTTTTTCAGGTGAAAGCTAGAGAGGAAAAAGGAAAATAAAGGTGTGTGTGTGTGGGGGAATCTCATGTAAATCTATAAATCAAGATAAGATATCAGTTGAGGGGGAGGGATCAGGGGGGAGGGAGCAAGCGATAAAAAGGACAAATACTGGTTAATGCTACTGGCCAAATTGTTACATTGTGTTCATGTACGAATATGTTACAACAAATCCCCCATTATGTACAACTATAATGTGCCAGCAAAAATATTAAAACAAATAAGCTGTTTAAATCATAATTTATAGTTTCATAAAATCAACTTTCATCTAATTATGGAAAAATTAAACTTTACTGTCATTTTGGTTGTGTTCTGGAAAAAGAACCACCAAATTAGGGGTACGTAAGTTAAAGCTAAAAATCAAGCCTCATGCCATGAATAAGCAATATGGGAGAGTGAGCACAAGCAGGTCTATTTGGTTGTGTTTCTACTTATGTATGCTTGTTACACTTTGAAATTCCTAAAACCAGGGAGATTGGCTTGGTATTTTGGGAAACATACCCGAAAATAGGAGAACTTTTCACTTTAGCAAAAACAATGAAAATAATAAATGCACCACGTTTCCCGCTCCGTCGGTTGACACACACCTATTTTCCCAGCAGAAACCCGGGATCTAGACCTAGGGCGGGCGCAGGGGGAGCGAACAGCGGGCGCCTCCTGCACTCAGCGAGGTGGCACGCGGCGCTGCAGCGGAGCGTCCCCAATGGGCTGGCAGCCGCGGCCCGGCAGCGTCCCCTCCTCTGCCCATCCCTCGTGGAGTTCTGGGCTGGAAAAGCATCCCCGCAATTCGCAGGCCCGAACGCGGCTGCGAGCCCAGTGGCCTCGGAGGCGCGCAGCGAGGGAGGGACGCGCCCCGCAGGACAAAGGCAGGCTCGCAGCCGAGGGAGGCGGCGACTACCAAGAGCTCAGGTCGCAAGAACGCACCACCGCCCCGTCCTCCGCCCCCCCGTGGAAAGGCGGAGCCCCGAATTCCGCCCTGAAAGGCGCCCCCGCCGAGCGGCAGCGGGTCCCGAGCGGCGGCGCACGCGGGCACCGGCCGCATGAGAAGCGGGAAAGGCCTCAGGGGCGGGGCCTGCGCAGCCCCAGGGGACCTGCCGGGCGAGCGAAGCTAGCAGGACCACGGGGCGGGGCGCTCGCTGGCGAGGTTAGAAGGGCAGGCGCCGGGGGCGTGGCCTGGTCGGGCGGCGGAAGCGGGGCCTCGAGGGCGGGCAGGGCCTGGGCGGGCGAAGAAAGGGCGGGGCGGGGCCTAGGGCCGGAAGAGGAGGCGGCTGCAGCGGGATCCGGGAGCGCTGCTGGCGGCGGCGTCTAGCGCAGCCAGTGCCTGAGGCGGCGGCTGCGGGCCGAGGTACCAAGGGGCGGCGGTGGCAGGGCCGCAGTGCCCAGGGGCGGCGGTGGCAGGGCCGCAGTGCCCAGGGGCGGCGGCGGCGGGAGCGAGGCCCTCCCTCGGTCGGCAGCGCGCGGCTGGGCTGGTGGAGACCCGCCTCCCCTCCGCGCCACCCCCGCTCCAGCGCGCCCCGCGCCGCGGGCCAGGAGGGTTGGGGACGCCGCGCTGGACGCAGGCCGCGGCCCTCGCGGGGGCTCCGAGGATCCCGCACCCTCCCGCGGACACACCCCGGGGCGGGGCGGGCGGCGGCGGGCGTGCCGGGCAGGGGGACCGCGGTGCGGGGCGCGGCCTCTGCGGGGCGGCCAGCCGCGGCGGCCCGGGCGCAGGACCCGGATCCATTTGTCTCCGGCCGAGCTGGACTCGGGCTGCCCGCCGGCGCCGCTGCTCCCCGCCTGTGCTCGGGAGGAGTTCGCCGCTGCGCGGAGCGGGTGGCGTCTGACCCCGTCCTGCGTGTCGCCCTTGGTGCAGCGCGGGGAAGGAGTCACGCTGTAGTGTGTTTGATTCATCATTCGTGGAAGGGACCATCGCCTTCCCCTTTCTGTTGACCAGTTCCCATCCCGCTGCTACCCTGGTGTTCTTCTCCTAGATTTTGCAAACTACCAACAAAGAAGTACAGCGAGTCCAGTAGACAGCCCCTGACTGCCTTGCAGGGCGAGCTGGGAGCGCTTCCTTGGAGACGCTGTTTCACCAAGCTAGCCTCAGAGCCTTTGGGCCAAAATGAAGGGTATCACTCCATCAAGTGCATAAAGTCTCTTTTTCTCCCTTTCTAGGGTGAAAAGGTTTCAAAAATCGATATTAAATTATTAAAATCTGGCTGCTTGGGAATTACGACCATAGAAGAAAATAATTCAAAAGGGAAATAGAATGAGTATCTTTGAGGGGTAAGTGTCCCAACTTCTTGCAAGTGCCAGAGATGAGGTGTATGGATTTTTGAGATTAATGGGTGAACTGTAAATAAGCTTTTAATATATGGTGTTTTGCACTAAGATATTTTTGTTTCGTTTTAGTTACTTATGGAAATTCTGGATTACCTGGACATCTTAAGACCCAGGAACCCGTTTATTAAGAATCTGCTGTCTTGAAAATTGCCTTTTATGAATGCTTTGAATTAAGAAGGTGTAAACAGTGGTTTGTCATTTCTGCCACATAATAGATAATCTGAATCAGTTCCCTCGCAGTTGCCCTGATGCCTAAAACTGGCAAGAACTAGTCCTTGGAGTGATCATCCTTCAACAGGAAACACAGAGCTATCTATGTACTATATAAATGTTATCTCTTTGATGACATTTAAGATAATGGACAGCTTTTCTACATCTAATTTTCATACACACAATTAACACTGAAGTCTGGAGAAGCATTGGTTATATATTGAAAGAGTGAGTTTTCTCTTTTTGAGTTTTCCAGATTTATTATTTCATCTGTATGCTTGAAATCTCCACAGTCACATAAACTCCAGACCTAAGGAGGAGCTATATGACCCATCAAGATATACAAAAACTATTGGCAAGCTTTGGAACCAGTGGTTTTTGCGTCTGTTCAACAATTAATATATTCTCTGCTAACCAAGAATATGGAAGCAAATACAATCATGCACATTGTATTGATAAATTGTGACTGTTGAATTTTTCTGTAACTGGTTACTTTTGTCATTCAAATGCAAGTTATGTCCAAATGGATATAAAGACTATATTGGTGTCCCTAGCTCATGGCCAGTGTTGAAGATAGAAAACCTATTATGACTAATCCTTGGGAAGAAAAAGTCTGCAAAATGGCCCAAACGAGTTTACTGCAAGGGAAGCAGTTTTACTGTAGGGAGTGGGTTTTCCACAAGCTTCCGCATTGCCTCCAGGAGAAAACCAGCTGCTGCAGTAGTGCTGTCAACACACCGTCCCTTGTGATGAATTCTGGGAATAACGCTGGTGCTGTCTCAGGAAAGGCAGCTGCTTGGGGTGTGTTGTTGGTAGGAGGGCCTGTTAGTGGCAAGACAGCCCTGTGTACTGAACTCTTATGGCCAAGTTCACCTACAAGCTTGCAGAGAGGTTTACATCGCCAGGCTTTGGCCTTTCTTTTCTGCAAATCCCAGGACTCTGATACTTCGTGTTTTGGAGGGTTAGTTAGAGGTCTGGTTGCCCAGATATGCCACAGTGGACTACTCCAAGGATATGAGGACAAGCTCCGAGATCCAGCTGTTCAAAGCCTCTTACAGCCTGGGGAATGTGAGAGGAACCCAGCAGAAGCATTCAAAAGGTAACAGCAAAGAATGTCATAGTGTTTAGGTTTCTGTGCAACAATTAGTGATTTTTAGCTAGGTTTTTTTTTTTTTTGAGGTACTTTTACTAGTGCTGTGCAGGTGGGCTTAATCTGTGGTTGTGAGTACAACTGTTTATTTTAGTATGGGAAGAAACAGAACTTTGTATTGCACAGTATATAGATTAAAAGTAAGTCTTAACTGTTCTTGTTTAATAACAGAATGTTCCATTTCTAACAGTAACTGTCAGTGGTAAGGGGAGTCTGTTCTTACGATAAAGAAGAACAGTTAGCTGCCTGGAAACCAGGCCTCATTTTCAGGGAGGATGAACTATCTAGACTACGAGCTGAAGTAGAAGAATTCTCAGTGTAGAAGCCAGTACATTTTGTTTATAGCATATTATTTTTTACATGAAAATTTCTCCTTAAAAGGTGTCATACGCATTGAGAATCTGAAGAAAATTTGCTAATGTGTTTTTGGGATTATTCCAATATTAACTTATTGAAAAGTTGAATTATAAGTTTATGTGATATTTATAACATAGTGAAAATTTTGGATTATTTTAGTGCTTTTAGTGAGTGGTGCAGAGAACATTTTTTCCCACTAATTTTAGTTAAGCATTTGTTCATGGTGAGTGGACTGATCTAAGCAAGTTGCTTTTTGAAGTGGCTGCAGATTCAAAATCTGCTCAAGAAAACATAATTTCTTGAAAATATGATTTTTGCCTGTCACTTCCTTGGTCATTGTGAAAGTGGCAATTGGTTATTGTGTGCTGGCTGTTGACTCCCTTCTACTTGAATAACTCATTTTGCCACACACCTTTTTCTCCCCATAATAACTAGGCTTTAGCAGGTAAAAGTTTGTGCCCCAAGGATTATGGAACACTGTGCACTGGAGGTTTGTATGAGTATGTCTCCAGGAGGATTGGAACAGTTTTGAGTAGCTCTGAAAAGGGGGATGCTTGTTTTTATGGTCTCCTCAAATCTAGTGTCATGAAATCTATAAAGTTTGAAGGCATATTGATAATATTTAGTAATTATAGCAAAAAGTATGTTAGTCATTGTTCTAAGAGTTTTATAAATATTAAACCATTTCATCTTCGTAATGTTCTGTGAGGTCATTCCCATTTACGTATGAGGAAACTGAGGGTGGAAAGTGAAGTAAACTGTCCAAGCTAGTTAAGTGGCATTTGAAGTATCTCTCTCCATATTTGTAATAATAGGTTTCTTTTAAGGACTTGATGAAAAGAGGAGTGATGTAGAAGTTGGTGTGCAGTGAAGTTGGAGAGTGAGGGCTGGTTCACAGTGTGGCTAAGAATGAGGAATGATAGTGTAGAACTTAAACCTGTGAGGGGTTATTAAACTCACAGATGTTAGGGTCTGTAAACAAGTCAGAATGGTGCCTGGCATTTTGCAGAGGGAATGGTTTGTGAAGTAACGCCAGTGAGCCATTAAGTGTGGAGATTTCTTATTGGTTGACTGCTGTATCTAGTTTATGTTAATTAAGATATGCTGTGTGGAATGTATATATACCCCTCCTGTCCTACAATAAATGGCTCCTACTCCTGCTGTATCAATGTACACAAGTTGTTCGTCACCCCCCCGGTTATTTTGCTGCAGCCGGACTGTGGCACACAGAGTCCTGCTTTTGAGAAATATAGGACTCTTGGGGCCTTTTAATCTGTCAGTGCAGTCCAGTGGAAGTCAGGGTGCATCTTTTGGTCACCAGAATCAGGCTTAAAACTGTTACATCATTCACCAGTCTATGAGGATGTCTGAGTTAATGCTTGTGGCACGGATGGGAGATGGCAGGTGTGATGGAGTGGGTCCATTGTGCAGTCACTGTGATTGAGCCAGTGAGGGAGTCTTGAAAATGAAACTTTCCCTTTTAGGAGACAATGGTCTCTACACAAAAACATCTTTTGTTACTTTTTCTCAAGATAACCATTAATAGTGAAGACCTGAGTTTTAATCTCTTTGTCATCAGTAAGTTCATAAACTATTTGGATGACACCTAAAACAATTACTTTCAAAGAATTCAAGAAGACCCTAATTAATTACAATTATATAATTTTGTAATTTATTAGAATGCATATATAAATTTCTAACACCTAAATGTTTAAAATCCTGATAACTATATATTTTTGATGTTCTAATACTTAAGCATACCTCTCACTATAGAATCATTGAATTTTCTAAAAGAAATTTTTCTCTTACTCAGTTGTTCCTCATATTTTCTTTTTCTTGTGTAATTTATAGTTATTATCTAATCGAAGGGAAGAAAGAAGCATTTAGAGCTGTGGGTGAAAACTGCACCAGCACTGCTTTTCTGATTGACAGTAGGTGCTATTCTTGATAGTGGGTGCTAATCACATTGTCTTTCCATCCTATATTTCCTGTGTCTACACTTGCTTGCCCTTTTACCACATTAACCAGTAAGAAATCCCTCACTGGATGCAGCCCCTCCATCCTGGATTTCTCGCCCTCCAGAATGGAGAACTGAATAAACCTCTCTTGTTTATAAATTCCCCATTCTCTGATATTTTGTTGCAGAAGCAGAAAATTGACTAAGTCAACTGACTTCTTAAATAGGTCCTTCAAGGAATTTTAATAGGAACATATTCTATCAGGGCATGTATAGTTGTAATTTAATAGCCAGACAGTGGGACAGAGGACCATTGTTTTCAACCAGTTGTGGTATTTTGAGGGAGATAGAAGTAGCTATGTGATGAGATGAAATATAAATATAAGCAAAGATACGCAAAATCTTTTTTTCACTTTAAACAAAAACAAAATCCAAAACCAGCTTTTATATTGTTATTTTCTTAACATTTAAAATATGATAAAGTTGATAGTTCCACATAGTCATGTGAAACAATTTATTAGTAGTGAGAAATTGATAAAGAAAAAACCCTTATTCTCAGATCCACTAAGCTGGGGAACTTTCAGAGAAGTTATTTAGTAATAGATGCTTTTTTAGCCGCTTACTTTTTCTTCAGTTTTTCTTTCTATTTTTCCCTATATTTTACTCTTAATACTAGGTGAAACACATAATATTGTATGCTGACTTCTTACATGCAATGATATGACTGTGTATTAACATTAAGTACCAACTTGCAGAGTTCCATTTTCCTGAATAACAAAGAGAGGTAAAAGGAATTTCATATTAATCTAGTTCCATACTGTCATGTTCCCTTCTGACTTGGCACAGTACGTCATTTCTTAGATTTAGTAGTCATGAAATTTTTTTTAATATCAATTATTATTTTTTAAAATATTTTTTAGTTGTAGATGGACACAATACTTTTATTTTATTTATTTACCTTTTTGTGGTGCTGTGGATCAAACCCAGTCCCTCGTATGTGCTAGGTGAGTGCTCTACCACTGAGCCCCAGCCCAAATATTCTTTTAGTTGTTGATGGACCTTTATTTGTTTATATGCAATGCTGAGAATCGAACCCAGGGCCTCACACATGCTAGGCACGTGCTCTACCACTGAGCCACAACTCTAACCCTAATATCATTAATTCTTAACCGTAAATATTGAGAGCAAACGCTGTGTGTTTTTAAGAACAGTTCATAAAAAGATTTTATACAATATTATGTGTTTCACCTAGTATTAAGAGTAAAATATAGGGAAAAATAGAAAGAAAAACTGAAGAAAAAGTAAATGGCTAAAAAAGTATCTATTACTAAATCAGGTGAGCTGTGTTAGGTTGATTTCTGTGGGAGATCCAGCAGTGAGCAGAGTAGGCAGAGTCCTACCTTCATGGAGCTTGAATTCGTATTTCTGTAGAGCAAGAATAGCTGAGGTAAATAAGACACATTAATTTCTTTTGTTGCTTTTTCATTGAATTTTTAACTAATTTTGGAGTTTGATGATTTTTCCAGTTCTGTTGTTAGTGGAACTAAGTTGAAACGATCACGTTCTTGGACTGGCTTCTTCCATTCCTGCCCCTTCCGTTTCTGTTAGGGCCTTGTGTGTCTTTTGGACGGCCCTTGTCTAGAGTTGGCTTAGAGTGGAGCTCCCTGGCGACCTGGGACTGCAAGACGCCTTCCAGTATCCAGGACCTGGGGAGGGGCTGGAGGGTGGCTGAAGGCTGGGTCTGGTTGGAGCTCCGGGTGAACCTACTCTCGGGCCTTGAACCCTGGGTTCTTTTTTTTTTTCCTTCATTCTTTGGTGGAACTGGGGATTGAACCCAGGGCTTCGTGTATGCGAGGCAAATACTTTGCCACTGAGCTACATCCCAGCCCACGAACCCTGGGTTCTTTGTGGGAGGTTTCTGGCACAGAGCTGAAACTTTCGACCCTCACCCTGGTCATGTTAGAGCCTGTGTTCATTTGAGGCCAACATCTGCAGGAGGAGTGAGTCTTCTGTGTGTGGCATGGCTTCCTGTGTCGCCCTGTGGAGTAGGAAGAAAGAGTGTCTTCAGGGCACCCCAGATGAAGCATAGACAGAATGAAACTGTGATGACAATTTAAGATCAGTTGTCTAGGTTTTGAGAGTTCAGCAGGAAACTCGAGTCCATGGTGGAAGGCAGCGTGGCTTGGTAGGACAAGATGGCGAACTGGGAGACCACCCTGACACTTGTTGTTGTGTCAAATAAGAGTCCCTCAATGATGGACTGTTATTTCCCAGCTTTTTATCTGTTTCTGTAGCATTGATGGTTCTTCACTTTTCTCTCTCTCGACTTCTACCTTGAGTTGTCCTCGCACCCCTTCTGTTAGGCATATGTTGTATCTCGTACCCCTTCTGTTAGGCATATGCTTCTTTATGACATCATTTCTGATGAATTTTTTATATGGACCCTCGTGCTTTGTGTGGCACTTTACATACCATAATGCCAGCTGTCCTCTGAGGGAGAGCAGCACACAATGCTGCTGCCCATCTAGACTGTTGCAGCCTAGCTGAAAGAATGCCCAAATTCTTCATAAGAGAAAACAGAAATAGTTGATGATTTAGGTCAGTTTTAACTGCAGACCAGGCTGGTATGGTGATT